ACGTCGATATCTTTATTTTTAAAACTAGTCTTCGTCAGTGCGGAAATTAAAAAAATAACTTATTTTATAGACTGTATATTCTTCCAGACTATTTTCTACATATACGCCGAATTGGTTATCGAGAATTGAAAAAAGAATCGAGATTCGTTCAGCAGTTAAGGCTGTAAACTCTAACAAATTTCTCTCTCTATCTGTACTTTCGCATTTATAATATCAGGTAAGATTTAGTTCGACTTAAAACAAAACACAATAGCAATTACACATAATGTTAGTGGGATTCGTGTACCTACGTGTCTTATAACTAAGTACATACATAATCGTAATAAACCAGTGTATTATTTATTGATACTATAAATATAACAAACAGTGCGCGTAAAATATTACATTTCTCCCTTGAATATCTCATAAAGCGCCTACATAATCCCACATAGCAATCTACCAACACAGCTACAATGTAGCGACGTAAAACTTCATCATATAAGGAGCTTCCCAAGGCGATATTAATATTAAGATTACACCCTCGCCCCGGGCAGAGCTCGCTGTCGCGTGATACGCGAAAAACAGCCTTAAGTATGTAGTGTAAAGAGGAGTTTGGTATGGGTACTCCGGGCGGTGGCGATGGGTTGGGTAGACTTGGGGCGAATGTAAAAACCACCCCGCGATCGACTTATATGCTGTATCAAGACACATACGATACTGTATAAGAGAGATGATACTGGAAATTTTAAAGAAAAAAATAACAAACAGAAAATAGTGGCTTGTAATAGACAGGAATATCCACACTAATTCCCATTTTATTTTGTGTACACATTATTCCTTATAAAAAAGAATTGATAACATATCTACAGCCCATAGTTAGCTATGGTCTCTTTCCTTATTAAAAAAAGGGATCAATCAAGATGAAAGAAGAATTTTGCCACAAAAAGAATTAATTTAAGGGATTCAAAGTACTAAAAAACTAGATGTATCTTAGTATTTTCTCCTATTAACACAAGTCTATGGCTTGAATATATAATTCATAAGGTTTAAATTACTAGTAACTGATTAATTCTTAAAATGCATTAACATCTTTCTACTTAAGAACCGTAGACGCGCCCCCCTTAAAATTTTACCTCGCCCGCTTGCTCGCGGCTCGTACATCGTACATACATATAATGCCTTACCTATCGTCTTACGAACCAAGACAAAGGTAACATTTATTGCCTACCCACTAACAGACTAATAAAATTTTAGATTAATGCTTTCCAATTAATAAGTAGTTGAACACTAGTATCTCAAACTCGATATTCAAGGCGTCTGAAAATCAATAAAACGTGGAATAATTAACTAAATGTTATGTTACCTATTGAAAATCCTAATGATGTTTTACGTAGAAATAGTGAAATATAATTCATATAACGCACTCTTACAAGTATATGTATGTAGAAAATTTGATGCCTGAAATAGCCTTTACATCATTAATAATTTTTTATATAAAAGTATACGAGACTTCTTCTATAGCTTTCACTGTACCGTTATAGATGTATTTAAAACGGGGTAAACTTTCTAAAGATATCAAAATCCTAGATGCTCCTGAATAAACACCTTAAAAGAAAATAAAAATCCAATACTTAATTGACCAAGAAGTAGAATTCAGCGTCAAACAGTCTACCCCATTACTTCCATGTGACAAGACAAACTATATTCCAAAATCACACAATAATCAAAGCAAAACCCTCTAAACTCAACATTACGATGCAAGTCGCATCAGCAAAAACGAAAACATTCCCTAAAATTTTCCTTTCTGAAAATCGACGCGAAAATTAAAACTAAATCGCGTGACCCGAATCTGTATCACCCTTTTTGCCCCCACTATAACGCACACTAACATCTAAGAGCTATAAGCAACGGCCAGGTATCGCCAACCCTTGGTAAGAATTCACTTTTGCAAAAATATACGAATAGTTATACGACGAGCGACCCGGGGGTAAGCGGTGGGGGTAAGCAGGAAGTGGGTTGAAGTAGTGGGGTGCTACCGGGCGGGGTGTCTCCTAAAAACGGTTAAGTAGCTTCCCCCTACCCTCTATAACTATTTTATGTGGTCCCCTTAGAAAGACAGCGGAGATGGGGCGGCCGCGATACGCGGCGGTGTCGGCGCGGTGCGGCGGCGAGGGGAACTAAAATTTTAATACGTCTACTGTGTTAAGAATTCATTGCGGAATTATAATTAAATGGCCTTAATAAGCCTTTGTTTATGTTCATATTACGATTTTTTTATTTATTTGGATTTATATACCTTTAACATTTATTTTAATCCGAAAACATGTTTTGAATAAAGTTTTGATGATTTTATTATCATGATTAAAATAATATCAACGACATTTAAAAACATTTTAAAATACTCGTGGAATTTTCAAAAACACATAAACTTTTTTTAAAAAAAAAGCGATTCTGCTATTAACTATAACCTGATTAAAGGGCGTGAGATTCTATCAAGTACTTTCAATTCACCTGTACAGTAAAGTTAACAGGTTCGTTTTTATTTCCACATTATAATAGAGTCTTGAGGGTTAAACTAGTTTTGGTATCTATTCATGGGAATGTCTGCATCTTTTTTCTAAACCTATTAGCAGTCTTAAAGGGTTTTAACTGTGAAAAAAAAAAGAAAGAAGTGTAGCACTTTCTATTAAATTATTCTCGCACGTATCGAAACCAATGTATTTTTTAAATATATAAGACAAAAAAAGAATCCGTAAACTAAATACGTACCGTAATCAAAAGAGAAGTATAAATGAATATCAAGGTACATAACCTTGATATTCATTTATACTTCTCAAAATTATTTTGTCTCCGACTGACTGGCTTTCATTTATTAATTAAACAAAAAAATTGTATCCCCCTATCATTGTTAATGTTAATTTTCTTATAACTAAAATAGATTTTGTTTGGATTTACATTTTTACATTTAGTAATATACCATCTATCTTTCGAATGTAAACTTTCTTTTTACAATACACTCTATACATCCCGTTTAAAAATAAAAGCTTAAGAAGAAAAAACAAGTTTGTTTTTAAATAGCACGAATTATTTGATTTATAAAAATAACAATAATTTTCCTTACGAATATATCTCACGGCGATATAAACAAGTTTGAAGTAAACGAAATTCAATCGAGGCAACCCTAAATGTCCGAACAGGTTGGTCAACTTGTATCACCAACATTTGATCGGATTCCCACACAACACGTCCTTTACGAAAACCTGTCGCTAAAATACGAAGACAAGATTTAACTTTCTTTTAGGGGAAAACTAGATTTCGTGAATTACTTTTAATAAAAGATTTTGTAAAATCACACGTTTTATTACCTCAGGGATGAGAATGAAATAGTAACTATTATCTATTCTCCTCATCGCTTTTTTTAAAAGGTTTGTTCAAACAGTATTACTGCGTAAGAAATACATCATTTTGGTAAAATAAAATGTTTTAGCTTTTAGCACTCTGTATAGTATTTTAGAAATTTTCTCTATCACCTAAAATCAATACTTTTTTATTATTTAATAAAAAAACAAATATCAATTAAAATCGTTAATCATATATTCAATTAAAAAAAACTATTTCTAAATATGTTTTCAGTTCAACATTAATTTCATCTTGAAATTGTTGCCAAATGTTGAGCATCCCTGCGCGGCTGCTTATACCCATGTAAAAAGCCAACGTCTAAGGCGGCTGGCGGGGGTGGTGCGGGAAGGCGAGGTCTGTGTATACACCTGCGATGCGTCTGTGTGCGGTTTATACATTAGTGTGCGTTTATATTTTCATTTCAATAGTTTTTAAGTTACAACCGTGTGTGTTGCGTGGCCATGTGTGCGTTTATGCCGTATTGATTCCGCCGCTGCGGCGAAGTTGGCAAGAAATTTATTATCTGTGTAAGATTGGACTGAAGGTCTATGCTTCGTTAAGTTCATTGTAATGTGATTGAAACAGAATTGTTTTGATCTCAGAGTTGTCTCTTATAATTAAACAATTGGTTTATATAAACAACACTATTTCTATTTCACTTTTGTTATTTGCTGGAAAGTCTAAAGTGCACTAATTTAATTTTGACAGGATGTAAAGGTTATCTGAATATAACGCGCCTTTGATGTTTTATTACACTGGGAAATAGATTCAAGGGAATGGTTTAACGAATACAAGTACATTATCGCCTTCAAAGCAATTAATTACGAGTCAAATTACTCGATCTAAACATTAAATTTAAAAACCTTAAACGCTTGCTCCGCTATTGTTTATTCTACTTAAATTCATACCATCATTTTTAGGTCAAGGATTGGCACCTGTATAATAAAAAAATCGAGATATAAAATTATTTACTAGAGGTCTAAAACAAAAAACACGTTAAAAAACGACATAACATCAAAAATGTTTACGATCCCGTATTCCGTTCGCAGGCTCGTGGTTGTGAAAAAGCTTTCGTCTAAGGAGGCGCGGGCGGCGGGGCGGCGGGAGGGGGTGCCATATTTTAAGATGGCTTCCGAGCGCGGGTATCGACGCGCGCCCGCCCAACGCCGCGCACGAATTTCCGCTGTGATTTGCAATAGTTTTAGGTTTACGGACCCTTTTTATTACGTCGCATTTTCTGATATTACAGAAAGAATTGATATTACTTGTATAAAGTCTTCATCTTGGCTATACACCATTATTAGTAACTATTAGTAACTTATTAGAGGTTGTAGAAATATTTTGGTTAGTTAGTAGAAATTTGGGGTCATGCTCGCTATATACTGAACTTTGACGATTTTCATTAATCGAGGTCAATGCGTGATTAAAAACGAAATATCACAACACAAGTTGCGAAGTTAAAAATGTATAAATCACCAAAAAATATTCTAAGATCAAATTTATTTTAAAATATTAATAGGTAACAAGCAATAAATTATTATATTTATTAATTATGATTATAAATATGATTACGACTAAAATTAAATTAAATAAAAACTAAATTATTTAAAAATAAACTACATCTAAATTACAACTAAAACCTTAAAAATAGGTACAAAAATATGGAAAATAATTTAAAATAATTATCTGGAGATGATTTTTGATTGTTGTCTCTTCTTGTTGATTGGCAGATTGCGTTGAATACCACTTTCGATGATGCTTTCGATCAGTCTATATTCCTCACACGCTACTGGCAAATTATTACCTTCTATAGACACATTGATCAAGCCACGGGGCTTTCTATCCGCTTGTTTCTGGTACAACAAAATACCAAGAAGTTTCCTCACAAAAATGTAACTCAGATCATTATAAGCAAGATTCAAACAGAGTAAAGAATTATTTCCTAAGCAGTACAAAGCTTCGTCTTTAACAATCGTGTTGTTCGATGAAAATGGATCTATATATACTCCAAAAGCCATTTGTACCATTGTCGCTGCTCTATCGAATAGATTGGAGTCAGAACCTATAATATTACCCGGGAGCATTTCATGAACTGAGTGAAGGGAAACTTCTCTGTCAGTTCTTGTTTTCCTTCTAACGCTAGGAGGAACCGACCTCGTTAACTTCTTCCTTGCTGAAGACTTATCCGAATCGCTTTCTTTCAACTCTTTAATCTTTTTAACTATTAATTTATTTCTCTTTAGATAAAATGAACAGTAACGAGTCTTTGAAGCCAATATCTCTTCAGGAGTTAAACAAAATTCTTGCAAACTATCCAAGATGCTTGCGGCACCGTCGTCTGTAAGTTTGTTACCGGATAAATTCAGATATATTAAACATCTGTTGGAACGTAACGCAAATGCTAAACTTTTGGCACCATCGTTGGTTATACGGTTTGATGATAAATTTAGTATAGCTAATGATTTAGACGCTGGCTTTGGGTAAACCAACTTCACAGCAATGTTGTGTATAATTTCATCTTCTATCTTGCATCTGGATAAAGATAAATTACGTAATAATTCGTGGTCCAATAATATATCATAGTTCCCATCCGGGATGAAGGTACCGTCGAAGCAAACCTCCGTTATATTCGAGAGTGGTAAAATCTTTTCAAATTCATAAATAGTGTACAAATCAGCGCCTTGATCGAATTGAACAGTATTCAATTGAGGATGAAATTTGATTATCAGACCGATAACTTTGATTACAATGCGTGGTATGTGTTTGTTCTTGTAAAATATGACCTGAACTAAATCACCGTTGGAATCGTGAACAGCGAAAATATTGATAGCTTCGTCTACGAAGTTGACTTGTTGCGTGGTACCGGTCTTCATGTCGTCAGTTCTATCGGACATACCGTCAGCTCGGGAGCGCACTGTTCTCGCTCGGCTTCTAGTTCTTGCTTTGCTGCGATCACTTATACCCATATCATAATGCTCACCTAAAATTTATTACTTATTTTAATTTTAAATCTATCAATTTACAAATTCTACTGTTGAATGTTAGTATTCTTCTGATTGTAATTCAGTAATTTGAAAAATAGGCAATTGTATGTATTATTTATTAATTATTAATAATTGTGATGTCTGAGCTTTGTAGATACTTTATTTGATAACTGCCCTTAGCTCATTTAGAATACCTTCACACCGAGGGGCTCCGAGGTTACCCATGTTAGGTATGACTAGGCCACAGTAAACTATGCTGGCTAAGTGCGGACTTTTCACATATCTTTAAATGTCTGCCGATTCTTGCATATTTCTTCCATATTATACTACTGTAATTTGACAAATTTAATGACTTACTTTGGTGTATTTTGTTAACGAATACTGCGTATTCCAATTCCAGCTGATTACAAGCCCAGGGTAAATAGGATCGGAAGTCATCCGGCAATGGCCTGTGGGCCGTAGCAACAGATTCTTCTAACACACTAACCTTTTCTTTATCCATTATATCCATTACCAAGCGTAATCATTAAAAAACAACTTAATAAGTAAGCTAAAAATTATGTAAATACAGCTAAAATATTATTAATCAAATACAAACGTAAATAAATTGATTGATTTCTGTCAAAATGATTTTCTTTTGTGTATAAAAATATGTCAAGATTTAAACATTTTGACACATTTTTTTTTTATTGACGCGGCTGGTTTCAAATTGGTTGCCATAACGAGGCTGAAACTCATTTGTCTAAACTCTCTTTTCTAAACTCAATTTAACTCAACTTTAAGTATACAGTTAACAGAAGCAGAAGGATAACAAAAATAAACCTTAATAGGTTAACACAATATAACATTTCTAGTTAAATTAATAAAAAGAAGTTTTAGTTACTTCAGCAAATAAACGTTACTTTCGATTATAATTTGTAGAGAATAAAATCGGTTTAGTCGTTTCGAGAATTACACAGAGAAAACGCGCCTGAGGAGAGATCGCCAATTTTTTTTAAACATAATTTTTAACGCGAATATATAATTTGTATAATATACATTTACGGGATTTCAATATGAATTAGTTTTTTTGATAATACATGCGTTTACTTCACTATTTTTAATAAAAATCTAAAAATATTTTGCATACTAATTCTCTACTAAGGTTTGGTTAGCGACTACTCGAAGACCTCTCAGTGCGGCAGTATGACACATACCAATTTTGCAACTTCAATAAACATGTATGTAAGTTATAGAACTTTAAAGTATGGTACATAAAAGGGGGAATATACGTAGATATTATAATATTTTAATACATTATCTCGCGGTACGTAACGTAAGTAACGAGCCGAGGCCGGGATGAGATTCAAGATGGCGCCTCTGAACACTTCTTAGCAGTCGCGGTGGCGAGCACACCTTACTATGGAGATGGCTTCATTAATTTATATCAAAAAAATTTATTATTTTTTTGATACACTAATTATCATACTAAAATTATAAATTTGAAAGTTTATATGGATGGATCGATGTTAGTTAGAGTTTGTAGCCTTAGCGGATTTCGATTTGGTACAGATGTACAGGATAGTCTAGTCTTTTTTTAATTCCACGCGAACGGAGTCGCGGGCGAAAACTAGTACCTTAATAAATAAAGTAACTCTGTTTAGTTCTGTAAGCGCCCACAGCTTCGACTAAACTATCGCACTACCGTTTAGTCATGCTTTGATTCTTATGCGCTTATATGAAGGAGCGCACACAACTCGATTTTTAGTTGTGCAACTAAACAGTTGAATTGGCTGCGAAACAATCGACAATCGCACAACAGTTATCCGATAGTTTAGCCACAGATGTGCGCCCGCTCTAACATAGATTTACTATCTGTTCACTATATGACAACTTAGTTTAGACAGAGTTGCACAGATAATGAAATTCTTAGTAATGATGGTATGATGTTCGATATCAGTTAGAGAAAGAGAGAGAAATTCTTCTTTCAAAATTTTGTACACTTGTCCACTCTTATCGAGAAAGTTTTATATCATTTAAAAGCCTTTTCCACAATAGCTAGCAAGCGCAAGGAGTTATAATATCGCTGGTAGTTTTCGCGGGGGTTTCCTTGGAAGAAGGTGGGCGGGTGGCGTGGCGGTCGGATGGGGGCGCTGCGTGATAACTCTCTACTTCGCCACTTATTTACATAATTACATATAATTCGTGTTGCGTTAGTTAGGTACGATCATATAAGAACGTATCGCGGTGTGAAGACGGGAATGTTGGAAACAATTTCGTAATATGCTGAGAATATTTAACAAGGGAAAAGTGCGAGGAAGATAATCGGGTTTTAACTAAGAATAAAAAATAAATAAATCAAGTAGTCGACATAATTATACTTGGAATTAAAAATTATGATCTACTAGCTTTTGCCCGCGACTACAACCGCGTGGAATTAAAAAGTACCTTATGTGTTTTTCACGCTATCCTCTACATTTATGCTTAATTTTATCGAAATCCGTTCGGCAGTTTAGACTACCTCTAACAGACATACATCCATCTCTCTAAACTTTCGTTTTTATAACATTAGTAAGAATATATGCCAAAACCAGCAGTATACTCATATAACCTAAATAGAAAGTGCTGTAAAAAAAATTGTGAATAATTTTTTGTTGTTTCCTTGTCGTAAGTGTCAAGACAAAGGTATTTTATTATTGTGTTCACTGGGTGCTAAGGAATTTTAGCGGAACACGAATCGATTAAGTAACATCTAATATCAAAATCGGGGAAGTTGTTCCGTCGCGCCGCGTGCACGGAATGCGGCCGTCCGTTTGGCGTGGTATAGCGTGCACGTAGTCGCCTTCGTTCGCCTTTCAATCTAACTTTGCTCCTTGCTTTGCTTTCTTGTGTTAGGGTTGACAAAAATGTTCAAAGATTTTTTTTAAATGACTATCTGTTCAATTGTAATTTGTATCATAAATGGTCTGAACAATTGTAAGTGTGTTCGATTCACAGAGTGTTATTAAATGTTTTAATGTATCATATTAAAATCAACACTAATGTTATAAAGAGGAAATATTAAGATTTTTGTATGAATTGAAATAACTCAATAACTGCTCGGCCGATTTAAAAAAATCGCGATTGAAAAGCTATCAGTGTCTATAAGTTGACACGGGCGAAGTCGTCTTTAATATACGAGTTACATTTGTTTTTAAGTGTTATGTGGGATAAAATTTCATGTAGTTATTTTCATAGTGTAAATATTTTATACTAAGTGTTGAGCATTTGGTGACAACCCTAACGAATTTCAAAGGCATTAGGCGAAGTACGTGTCTTTAGTAAAACTACGGCGGTCGATAGCGGAATGCTTGCTAACTAATAAATCTTATTAAACAAATTATTAAGGTTCTCTACACGAAGATCGTGCTTAGTAATGCTATTATGTTTAAACCTCGGCTTCGCTTGCGACTACATCCTTATTACTAGATTCGTAAAGTTTTCAAGACATTTATAGTTTTATGAACATTATATGTAAAAATTACATTATTATTGTTTTAGTTTAGTTAACTCTAACGCTTTACACTCGATATATTAGCATAGCATATTATCCCGTAACAAATCAAGTGACAATTTCACTGTCAGTATTGAAGTTGTACTCATAAATTGTAAAACCCAACTTTATTTAAATTACGGATAAAAATGATGGTTAATACGTTGCTATATATAATCTATATCTATACTAATATTGTAAAGATAAAAGTGTATTTTTGTATGTATTGAAATAACTCAAAAACTGGATCGATTTAAAAAAAAATCTTTCACTTTAAAAAAAAACTACGTTATCAGTGATTAACATAGGCGATTTTTAACTTTCACGCAAACGGAATCGAGTAAAGCTAGTTAATATATACAAGATATTTCCATATATAATGTACGTAATATTCAAATGTATGGTAACTATTCAAATATACGCTTACTTATTCGTCTTAGAAGCCGCGAAAATAGAGATGTGTCGCGGGGGAGCGCCCCCAACCCACCCTTAATATAGGGGGCGCCACCTGAGACTCCAAGACGGCACTCAAAAGTTCGCTTATATAACGTAGAATTAATTAGTTTTACAAAGTTAAATTTTAACCGTTATATACCAAGCGGTATTAGATGCGTCGGCTTACGAAACCAATTTCATTGGTAAGAGGTTTTATTGTTATTACAGTTTTAATGTTTGTAGAGAGTTTTGAATTTTCAAGATGGCGGCTAGATAATAGATGAAAATAGACGAGTACTTAAGTTTAAATTTACTAATATTATGAATTCGAAAGTTTAGATGGATAGATGTTTGTTAAAATTCGTTGCCTAAACGGGTGAATGGATGTCGGTGAAATTTTACAAAGATGTAGAGGATTGTTGTTATTTTTAATTTCACACGAACAGAGTCCCGGGCGAAAGCTATAGATGTAAATGTCTAGTAGGGAGCAGACATAAGTTGATGATGATAAATATTCACGACTGTATCTTATGGTGTAGGCAGGCTGGCTTTTTAACAATGTTTGTTACACTATTTATTTTGCATTTAATATTATACAGAATGGTTATGCAGAACTATTTATCCGTATGTCTTTGTTTTTATAATTTGCTATACATTTTAGAAAAGAAAATGATTTTTAAGATTATTTTCTCTCTTGTATTTTTTACATTCTATTTGTTAGGTTACTTTTCCAAGTTTCAAATTTATAAAGACTCTTTTTTTCTGTACAATTTAATCATTCCAGTGAAAATAAGAAGTTATATAGTCTGTGTTTATAACCTAAGACTGTATGTTAAATATTAAGCTTGTTGTTTTACTATACCAGCACGTTATCCTTCCATAAATAAACGTTCAAGAAGCGTCAACTACAACGTTATAATAATTTTAATGGAATCTTGTTAATCCGAAGGGGGTTGGTAATAGGGAGGAGGGGTGCGCAGCCTACTCGCTACGAATAAAATTACCTCCTACTATTATAGATGCCTTCAGTAATAGTATATGAAAGTTTGTTATTATAGCGTAAACACTTTTACTAGTAGAAGCCTAAAAATTTTCATCTCTATATTTGATAATTCCGCGTTATCGAAATGCCCCGTATAATACGTTTTTAAGATATCGCGTTATAGAGGGTTCTCCTTTTATAAATTGTTGACAATATTTGCGTTATAGGGGTAATTGTCGCGTTATATAGGGGTACGGAATTCATATTTTTATTGTTGCACATTTTAAAAGTTATTGGTATGTGAAATTACATCCGCTACTAACTGGAATAGCATATAGTCATAAAGACTTTGTTCTAGTAAATAACATCTGTCCGTAGTAACTAAGTCTCGATTGAGATTCGCGCACTGCTGTATTGCGCTGCGGTTCTTAACGAATACACCCCTGTGTACCCCCTTGCGATAGTTAAAGCAATACCAAGAAAACGTTCCAATCGAGAACACGCACGTGGGTATTTAATATGCCTAATAACGGCACCCTACAGAGACGAACTGAAAGATAGTGCTTCTCAAACTTCGGAGACCTATTTTTGTGAAGATTTATTGACGCGCTTATTCTTAATGGTGCTTAAAGGAGTCCCTTAGTGTAGCTTTAGATAATTCTACACTAAGACGACTCCTTTTAGTCTGGATTTATATTAAAGACTAGCTGTTCCCGTGCGACTTCATTCGCATGAAATTACGAAAATTTTATTTTATTGTTTACATTAGTCAAATTATCAATAGTAAATGACAAAATGACATGACATGATGACAACCTTGCTTCCTTGATTTTGGCAGCAACTTATGGTCTCTTTCCCACATTAGGGTTTTTATCCAAAATATTTACCCCCTAAGTTTAATGGCGTTAAAATATATAGCCTAAAGCGTGATGCAAGTGTTGGGCTTTTTATTAAAAAAGAATTATTCAAAAATATGTTGTAATTGCTGACGTCTTAGGCAACAAAGAAGTGTGTGTTTACGCTTTATTATAATAGTATAGATATAGATTAAGTAAATTAGTTTTAAATAATTCCGTAAAGAACAATATGGTATTAACATTTTTTTATAAAACTTTGAGATTTTAAGGGGTTAGTAAGATTGACTGCTAAGAAAAGCTAGATTACTATTTGATATAACTAATGAGTGTTTTGATATACTAAATTAATATAATTGAAGTTTGAGAAGCGTTGACTAAAGTGGCAATATGAGATGGCCAAAAGGCAATGATCTTTCCGCGACGGCTGGTTAACGTTCGTAGAGGGCGCCACTTTCTCTTTAATGCCCTTACAAGATATTCGTCGAATTATATTCTACCAGTACTTAAAGAAGAATTATTATACAAGAAAACATCAGAATCGGGAATTAAACTAAATTGATACTGAGCAACATTAAAATTACAAAACACAGTGGCAATTTTTTTTATAAGATTGTGTTTCACTGAAGTAATTGTTAACATATAGTACTAGCCGTTGCTCTCGTCTTCGTCCGCGTGAAATTAGAAATAATAGAAAAGATAGGCTATGTTACTCACAGATAAATTACCTTTCTAACGATGAAAGAATTTTTGAAATCGGCCTAGTAGGTTTTGAGTTATTTCGGTACATAGAAAAATCAAAAACACAATTATACAAATCTTTTTTTTTTTATAACACAAGATGGCAAACGAGCGAACGGCCACCTCAAATCGCCAAAATGGCGAAGCGACCGCTGCCCATAGACATCTGCAATTGCAGATGCGTTGCCTACCCTTAATTGATGGAGGAGGAGACGCACATAAAGAGGACATTTCCCCTTCCTATGCGTCTCCTCCACCGTAAAATCCACTTTTTCTCCCCATCTTTTCCTCTCAAGAAAAGGGTGGAAAGGGAAAGGGACTAAAGTTAGGCCTCCGGCACCACACTCATCAGACGAAACGCGGAATTGCTTCCACTCCACGCCTGTTTTCTGTGTGGTCGTGGTATTACACCGAGCGAGCCGGCCCATTCGTGCGAAGATGTTAAAGAGGGCTCTACCACTGTTAAGTGGTAAATCTTTCCCATTTATAATATTAGTATAGATATCTGTTCTATCAAAGGGTGGATAATAAATAGAATGAAAACTTGTTATTATACAAGTATTTTGACAATCGAAACTGATAACACAATGTTTCCATACTAAATTTCCCATGAAACAAGTTCATCGGACGAAATATTGTACAAATCAAATACAAGTTGTATAAAACTCGGAATACTCAAAAACAAGTTACGGATAAAGAAAAAACTTAAGTTTTTGAGAATCATGGACTTGTCTACCCTTTTTATATTGACTTCTTTCATATGTCGGCAACCTGTTTGTATTGTTGTCCGTATTCTTGACCCTAAAGATCGTGGGATGGTCTTTGTGAAATAACATCAATAGATATTAAGTTAAAGTAAAAGTTTAAAGTGGACATTCATTGTAAGAAATTCTAGAAAATGATTGGCTATGATAAAAGAGATCCTGACTTATTGTATGAGATACAGGTCCATACAAATTTGTTGTTCAGTTGACAAATATATATCGATGTGTATTTGATAGTCTCTAGATTACACAGATCATATAATTTCAAAAACTCTCACTGGATAACATATTGAATATTGAAGTAAAATTATATTACGCGTCTGTCAGATGGAATGTCTATGGTCTAACCAAAGATGCGTTAACATTAATATGCCGCCATATCTACGCATATTCAACTGCCATATAAAGAAATCGTTGTATATACCGAACTTATAATTATTGCCTCTTTAACTTTACCCAATTAATAAGGAAACAAAGCTGTTTATCAACAGATTTTTTTTTAATTCCGTACGAATAATATGCGGACAAAATAAATCTTACTAATCTTACTAATATTACAAATGCGAAAGTTTAGATGGATGGATGTTTGTTAGCGTTTGTAGCCTAAACGGCTGAAAGGATCTCCATGAAATTTGCCACAGGTTTAGAGCATAGTCTGGAAGAACACATAGGCTTCTTTTCATCCCTGGAATAGTTACGGTTCCCGTGGGATTCATTAATTTAGTTTTTTAATGTTTACTCGATCATTCTGCAACGGTTCAACATATCTTAATAAAACAAAGTCTGGAGTACATATGGGATAAGCTTCATCCCCGAGAAATGTCCGGTTCCCGAGGGATACGTAGCTTTTTGTAATTTTATAGTTTGTATGTTTTCTAATACCACGAGTATGAAGTCGCGGGCAACAGCTCGTAAATAATAAAACAGGTACGTTATATAAGGAAATATTTAAGTAATAAGCAACATGTTTATAGAATATTAATAACAATGTATCTTGCGAGATAGTTCCACCCTCTACCTGCCTACACCCTTTAGCTAAATCACCTGAGTCATTAATTCATTTTAAGACGCCTCGCGGTGTATCCCCTTAGACTCGACATTTGCATATTACAAAGTATGGAAGTTCCCTAACGAACTCGGAGGGGGAGCGTGTTCCTGGGGGAGAGGGGGGTCGCGGGCGCAGGGGGAGTCTAAGGTTGCGGGCGTAAGACGGGGAATTGAGTGCAGGGCAGGATTCTATCACTTTTAATTTGAATTATTCAAAATACTTATTGTTTCAAACCACAGGATTCTAAGTGTAGGACAAGCTATGGATGACATTGAATAAATAACAGTTCCAAGTATAAAGTAGGGATTTAAGTTCATTTATGTCACTAAATAGGTATGGTTTGGATAGTAGGGCGTAGTAGATTTTTTTTCTAACTTAATGTTAAAATAAGAAAAGAAGTAAATTTTATTAGGTTATCATATAACTTTTTAGATTATTAGAATTTGTAACATAATGTAATAAAAAATAGACTTCTTTAGTATTCAATTCAATATACCTATATTGAAATTCTACACTATCTATTTAGTGTATTGTGTTAAACATTAAAAGTTACCTTAAGTATAAAAATAATGCACTTATTTAACAAAACTCCAAGTCCGACTCTGTGCACCTCGAAAGCGGAGAAAGATGAAGGAAATGAAAATGTACGTCGCAAAAAGGGGGGACTGCGGCCCCGCCCGAGTTTGTGGAAAGCCCGAAAATTCTATAAAGAGGGGTAGAGGGGAGCCGATACCTTTTGTCGGCGATAAGGAGGGGGCTGGCGCAAGGAAAAGGGAAACATTACTCTTACAGAGACGAGTTCTTATCGCTTTAGGTAATTTCCTACGGCAAGGAGGTCGGATGCGGGCTTTGATGTGCAAAAGAGGATTGCGGGGACCTTCTTTTGATAGGCCGCCGTCTATTCAACTACCCTACAAGTTACAGCCTTCGTCTTAATGTGGAAGTTTTGTGAGGTTTTCGTCTTAAGTATGAATAATTTTCACTTATCAAGATATTACGAAAATAATAAAACAATTTAATATTATGACGAAGAAAATCACGCAATTAAGATAGCTATGCGTATGCACCTTAGCAATGCAATAAGCAATATAAAAATCAGAGGCAGTTAGTTGTTTGTAAAACAATGATCATTTTCTATTAACGAAATAATTACGTCTTATGGTTCCTTAAAGGAATTTGTAATCTCACCCGAATTATCGAGAATAAATAGATTTATGAAACATGAGTTTTTACTGAATGGTAAAAAGGCACAGTCCCACTATCGTAACTATTATTTTCTAAGTATTAGAGAGCACTAAAGTTCTCATTAACGATTTATTTTCACGGTCTATCTTTCAGAATACGAGACAGTGATTATCAGCTGTTAATTGTTTACTCGTGTTCGTGAATGGGACAGTAGGTACGGGACGGGTCAACGCCGAATGCCCACGCCACTGACCGACGCCTCAATACCCCTACTATTTGCTTCACGAAACGGAATAAATAAAATTTATTACTACTACAGTGGTACATAATCGAATTAGATTTTATTATTATTGTCATCACTATATTCCGTACAAGAAATGTCACCTAAATTAGTTAATAAGTAATTAATATTTTTGTCAAGTTCGATCAATTTTATTTAAACCGAATATCGATAGTTCATGGTTGTTAGATACGCGTGTTTGTTTCGTCACTACGATACCCATCTATTAAGTACCTACGGCACTTGCCTTCATACAAATTTAATTCGATATTTCATATGCGTCATTTATCAAACTAATCAATCTTATTTAGACAAAACATAGTACTGTAGTTAACAAGAAAATAACACAAGTGAATTTTAAAAGAACGAAAAGCGATAAAATAATCGTGCCGTCGATAGACAATAGTAGGGGTAATATGTCAATAGCGGTCACCGACAGGCGGACGAGGTCAACGATAGCGTTACAATGTGTTTATTGTTCGCAATTGTTCAAAACAATAATAACAGTTAAGTTAATAGGTTAATTTGAGATCTACATACCTCCTTTCTTTTCCACATAACTAGTTATATGAGTGACAAGCGGCTTGCATGTAATTCCGAAGGTAGATAATGAACACGGTAATTTATTCCAATGTAGGTAGGCGTTTGCATGTCATAGATAATAAAATAAAAATGGCATAACATCAAAAACAGTCCTTCAATCTTTAGTGAAAACAAAACACAATCTAACTGGATTGCATAATTTACAAAGATTAACCAATTGACTATAGATGCGCACAATGAAAGCGCAATTCAATGACAACTGTCATTTGTTATTTGGTAGCCATCTTGACATTAATCAACCCATTTGTGGTTGTCAGTTTAAATACTCAATTTTTTTTGCCAGCCAGATTGCCAGCATTCAAAATTATTATTTAACTTTATTCGTTCAAAAATTAACAATTACTTCGCGCCGTATATTAAAAGCTAGTAGTAGTAGCCGTTCATGGGGTTTTTACTTGTTTTTAGGTCTCAATTAGAAAAAAGGAAGAATTTAAATTATTTCAAATTAGAACAGATTGTCAATTGTATTGTGTTTTCTATGTCTTTTCTTTAGATATTTTTACCAATACACAAGTTTCCATTAAAAACAATTTTATTACAAAATCTTTTACAATATACACTAGCGACAAAGAAATCATGAAAGTAAAGGTTATGCAGGTTATGATAAGAAAAAAATCGCATGTGACAATTTTATGTGGGTTTTGTGTAGTTTAGGGTAGGACTATGAAAAACATTGAATATTTTTTCCAGTCGATTAAATCACTAACATAACTATTTTCGAAATAAAAACTCAAACTGTCTACAAACAAAAAAATTAACTGTGAATATTATTTTCACAAAGATTAATTAAGTAGGCAGTTATTACACAGAATTTACAAACATAATTTTTATGGTGTTACCGGCCGAATAGAAATTTTATTTTTAAATAGATTCACACACAATTAATATATTTTTTAAGAATATCAATAAATACCTGTTCCAAATAACAGGTTACCACTCGAAGCTAGCTTCTTAATACTTCTTTTCAAGTCAATAATAAATAGAAGAAATTAAACCGGTTTGAACTGGTTAGTTTCCCACATGTTTGAAGTGGGAAAAGATCGATTTTATAGATATATCGTTTGAAGAACTCGTTGAGGTGTTTGTGCACTTTTAAAAAAATATGTGGTAGAAATAATTTTGCTTGGACAGTCTCATTAAACAAATATTAAATTAGCTATCTAATTTTTAAAACATCATGAGAAAAAATTAGATTTATTACTGTCTGGCTGAAATACATTTAAGTTTAAAATTTATAGCGTTAGACGGTACAAAATTAATCTTAATAGAAATTTATGAAAGCGCTTTTAAGCGATTCAAGCATTCTCAGTGAACAATGAGGCCTCATAGCTACATCCGTAAAGCAAACAGCCCACACCAATTCCTCAGAGAAATTCAAATTTCGAACGCCTCTCGCGGCCGCCATGTTGCGCAAGACGTCGATATGGAAGCTTCCAGTCGCGTATTTTTTTTCTAGAACGTCTCAAGTTGAATATTTTTACGCCACTATAGCTCTTATGGCGTCTTCTTACGCTACTGAATCGCTCGCGGAAAAATGTTCCTCTATTCCTTTCGAATTTCGAACGCAAAACAGCTTAAACATAAAAACGTATATTGAAAATTAAACTCTCAATCTCCGTAATAAGGTTTAAGGTACTAAGAACAGTATTTTACATTTGTTACGTTACGGATTGCACTGCTAAAACTATAATAACAATGCTTGTGGTTTGAGTAGTGCATTTCGTGAGTTTATGGTGCTTTTAATAAGAGCGAAAGGGATGTATATATTTAGTTGGTTATAACTAAAAAGGTGGGGCGTGAATAGTTGCGGCAGTAGTGGAACAAGTTTAGAAGAAAGTTTGGAAGAGGGAACGTTTTATTGGATTTTCGTTGCGCCTTCGCTTCCCGTAATGAAACCGGATAGTTAGGGGAGCAATTATTTTCAAGATGTCTGACTTTTTTATGTAATCAGTAGGTAGGGACAGCAGATTGATTAAAATTGTTTTAATTTTTTTTGTATATTATTATCTCAAGATGTTGTTTATTATTAATTTAAACTACATATACATTAGAACACATTGAGATATTATATTTGAACTATCAATTATTGTCTAATAATTTATATTTAAAATTTAATTGTATTACATTTTTTCACTGTTATAATTGCGAAAGATAGATAGATTATTGTTGGAGTTTACAGTCTAATTTAAATTCAACGGAATTAAAAAAATTGTAGCCTTTGCTTTCCCTATGGCTTATTTTGACATTCTACATGTATGCCTAATTTCAGCAAGATCTAGAGTGAAAAATACAGTAGAACCTCGATAAGTTAAAGTCCAAGGGAAACACAAAATATTTTAAGTTCTAGAGGTTTTAAGTTATCAAGGTTGTAGAGGTTTTGGTCACTTATGGAAAGGGAACATAGTATTTTTTGAAGTTATAGAGGTTTTTATGTTATCGAGGTCCTACTGTACTATTACGCTACATATCTTCTACATACATACAGTATAGAAATCTCATTCCCATTGTATATGTGTATAAACTAATTTACTTGTAGAAAATCTTTAATTTTTTAATCAAACTTTTTTTTTTTTATAACAGCGTCTATCTCACCAGTACCATGTTTTACGGTCTACTATAGATGTATGTTTGGATAGAATAGTAACAAAGGACAACGTTTAAAACCAACCCAAATGATATAAACACAGAATACAAATTATATTTGTTTTAACCAAAACGTTGGTTACCTCAGGATCATCTATCTATACTATTATAATTAAGCGTAAACACACATTTCTTTGTTGCCTAAGATGTCAGCAATTACAACATATTTTTGAATAGTTCTTTTAATAAAAAGCCCTACACTTATGCCACGCTTCAGGCTATATATTTTCACGCCATTAAACTTAGGGGGTAAATATTTTGGTTAAAAACCCTAATGTGGGAAAGAGACCATAAGTTGCTGCCAACATCAAGAAAGTAAGATTGCCAAGGTTTGTCATGTCATGGCATTTTGACAATAATAAAATAAAATTTTCATAATTTCATGCGGATGAAGCCGCACGGCAATAGCTAGTTTCTTATAAGATGCCCTCTTCTTTCTGACCATTACTCTGTGGACCACATCAAGTTGTCTTCGTCCAAATAGTTCATTCGTCACTTCAATCCATTTATAATTTCCTAACCGACCAAAAAATGGCATTGGAATATAAACAGAGCCTTAAAAAGACTTTAAGTTCAAATTCAATTATTTTCATGTCTGATTGTAGTTTACTAAGCGAAGTGTTCGCTTAAATGTTTAGCCATTAAAATTATGAAGAAGAAATATTTGTATTTTTGTATGTATTTGATTCACATAAAAAGTACCGGGCAGATTTTAAAAATTCTTTCACCATTAGAAAGGTAATTTAACTGTGGGTAACATGGGCTATATTTTTCAATTTCACACGGAAGAAGTCGTGAGCAACAGTTAGTCTCAAATGTGATAAGAGTTTCTCTAACATCAACACTAGTATAACATCTTCACGACGTTGTAACATGCAGGCGGCAGGTAATTGTCGGTCGCAATGTGGTTTGTTGTGACCCGACTCCAGGATGGACAAAGAAATCTATAGAGTAGGCATGATTAAAAATCCTATAAAATTCACTCAAGTAATCCATATTGCACCCAGCTTGAATAAAGTTAAGAATCTTATCTGAGGGCTTATTACTAATATTCGTGAGGAAGATTTCTTTACATCATTTGCAACAATTGTATTAGATTTGTGTAGAGCCCCCTAACAGACGTCAATTACAACAACAAATTCCATACGAATTTGTCAAGAAAATTTTCATGAAACATCCTCTGAAACCATGAGCTAGACGAAATAAAGTAAAGACGATAGAAAGGACACACAAATATCCTGTGAAATTGTGGTGATTTCTTTGTCGATCCAAATCATTCCAATTCAGGATTGTGTCTGGCATACATTCATGTTCTTTTATAAATACAAATTAATAGTAGTAATATTTTATGTCAATAGTTTTTATTCATTATTACATAGTTATCTTCATCCATTATTGCCGTCTAAGGAGCCATTGCTTGTGATTTTTCTATATTGCTGATAATATTTTTAGTATGAATGTCCGGTGCCGACTCCTTAGCTTTGTATATCGTATTGTGCGGGGTCAGTGACCGGTCACTCGGCTCACGCTCAGCTTACGACGGATTGATGTTGCCGAACTTGAACACAACATGTGCTACGATATTTGTTATTGTATGACGTCACGTGAGAAATATTAACACACTTTTGTGTCATTTTGTATTAAACATTACTTTTCACACTCAATGTCGAGAAATCGTCCTTTGAAAATCAACACTTCCTACATCTCACGGAGTCATGTAATGGTTGATAACTGTTAGTACAGATTCTTTCTATAACCGTTGCGTTGGCAATTAAATTAATAGTGGGGTAGTTACAAACGATACAACTAGGTTTATTTTATAAGAGAAAGAGGGCAAACTGCGGTATCGTCTAGTTGATCAACGACGCCTGTGGACATCCGTCATCATGCCCTTGTCTCTAGATACGGTCGGCACAGTAAGTACTGCTCTTCCATACATCTCTATCAACCGTTATATCTGAATTCTCTCCCTTCTTATGCATATCCTCTTTCACTCAATCCATCCATACTTTCTTCGGTGTTCGTCTAACTTTTTAGTCACTAACATTTTAACTACATATGCATTATCAGCATTTATTAATCTTTGAGACAAGTACGCACAAGTCAGAGTAAGTTTGAGAGTAGCCCCAGTGGTAGAGAAGGTAAGGAGTAAAAGGTTAGCATGGAATAAGCATGTTATGATGAGGGATGAATCGCATGTTACAAGGATAACGTCAGTTATGAGTTTGGAGGTACACCGGTAGAGGTAGACCTAGAAAGAGATGGATGGATTGCGTAAAAGGTAACATGATCAAAAAGGGAGTGATGACTGAGATGACGTATGATAGAGTTATGTGGAGGACAAAAACCTGTTGCGCCACTACAGGAGTAGGATAACGAGGATGATGATGACAAGTACGCACAACATTTCTGATCTTCCTCTTTGTAAACATGAGACCTTCTTTGTTTTTTATTACATTTTTCTGTCATTTTTTTTTATAATTAAAAGGGGCCGACGAGCGGCGTGAACACCAAGGT